CGGGTCGAGGCAGAAACGCGGGAAGCTTTCACCGTGGCGGCGTTCGAAATCTAATTAATCCGTCCGCCATTCAGGCAACGGCCAGCCACTTCATAAACACGATCAAGCCCGCGTGCAAGCTTGCGTGGGCGGTGAATCAGATCTGGCCAAGATAACGATCATTCGCGTAGCGTTTCGCGTTCGGTTTCTCCCGCTTTTACGAATCCTGTTAAGTTCGTCTCATTGTTCTGGCCGGCCTGTCAGGCGAAACGGAGGCCGAATGCTTGGCAACGAATCCACATAGACAGAGAAGGAAGGGAGGGAAAAGGTAGTGGATGACGGCGAAACAGGAGGTGGAGGACGGGTAGGAGGAATAAGAAAGCAAGGCAGGTCAGGCAAAGGCAGTAGAGGGTTATCTGATCGCGAGCGCGCGAATATCTTCTCGGCTTCCGGCGCCCAACCCGTGATTACCGCGTCGATTGTCTGCAAATGGAAGCTGAAAAAATGCATCTCACACTCTATAAGAAAAGCATAGTTCCCCTCGTGGCGAGAGCGAGCTGTGTGTTCGCGCTGGCGATATCTCGGTTAGCATCGTCCCACCTGCTTGGACGCGTTTAAGAATCCAGCATCGATGCGCCGGATCTTCCTCCGGATTATTTCGATCTATATTTCGCCGTCTTTTTTTATGATCTTAACGTATTATGTTAACTATTGTCAATTACGAATATTCGGACGCATATTTGCGATATATGTAGACATCGAAAAATTTTAATTTGTATTTAATGCTTTGCGATATCGGTGAATAGATTTGTAATATAATTGTTAAGTGTTAATAGCACTAAAAAATATTCGACTTGTATGAAATATATGTTAGATTTTGTGTAGACACGGTAGATATCTTAATTATCTAAATGTTGAGCAATTAAAAGTTAATCACATATTCCGACACATTGTGTACTAGAATCAGGAAATGTTCAGAAAATGAATTTGTTCGGTTAAACTTTAAATTAGATGTTGCATTTTGTGTACATTAATTGGTCTTCTTACGGATTCTAGCCAAATTAATGCAATAAAAAATAATATTTTGATAGGTAACCAACAGTGAAAAAGTAGATAAATATATTATTCTCGAGTCATATCCTAGCACAGCAAATTTGAAATTAAAAGCAACAATGCATCAGAGAATCTAAGGAAGGTTTTAAAGAACACGCATGCACATCAGAGAAATGGAATATCTAGATTCTAGATACATAAATCCGCGCTTCGAACGAGCCGCGTTCTCCTATCGCATAAATATGGATTATTCTCGACCGATACCAGAGTTACAGTTCGTGAGCATGTTGAGTTGGAGCAAAAATGAGGCGTTCCAATGGGAGAGAAGAAAAGAGTACACGTGAAAAATAAATTTAAACGATAAGCGGAAAAATGAGACGAAATAGTGGCTGTCTCTGGTTACAGGAATCATTAACATCGCACGTATAATACATGTATATCGAATAACTTGTCTTATACGATATATATGATATACGATATACGATTATATATGATATTTCCAATATTTCATATCGTTATTTGGATCTATAGGTTTGCCATGAATAAAGAAGTATCTCTCCTTATCTCTAATTGTCAAAATAGCGATTTATTTGAAACATCGAATAATTTGTTTGAAACATTTATGCGTAAAACATTTTCATCAAAATCCTTCCAAGCTTACTACCTTGATAAATAGTTATTTTATTAAAATTTTCGAAAATACCGGCGCAGTATTTGGTCCTGATTTCTTCGTCGCTCGTTATTCACGATAGAAATTCCAGGAAATTTCGGTAGATTAATGATCACGCTGCAAAATCGAACGTGTACAATTAATTCCGCGAAAATTCCACTCGCTGAAGCATCTAATGATCTAATATTTCTCTCTCGCGATCAATTAAGCTGGCCAAATCTGCTATTTTGAAATGGACCTTGCACGATTTAAAATATACAATACTTATTGGAAATAATCATGAAATTTTCAATCCCATCGTGGCGACTGGAGAAACGAATAAATCCCCCATCGACCGATGTACAGCGCTATCAAATCGAGCATCTGATCGCAAAGGTCCACTCCAATTACTCCCCTCCACAGGAAGAGAAGAGAAACGCAAAATCATTGGATAACACTGTGGCGTCGTAACAACGGCGGAACCGTCGTCAAACCGGAAGTAGACCGGCAAATGAAATTATAAAAGTTCCATAAGAGGCGTGATGTTTTTTCCCTGGGATATAACAATGTTTCTATGCCGTTAACTGGCGGCCATTTATCACGGGCAACACGATACGCATTTCCTACTGCCCCGTGTAAGGAAATCGACCAACCCTCGCTCTTGCGTTTTTTCTTTTTCTCTCTTTGTCTCTTTCTTTCTCGCTCCCTGCCCCACCCAAACGAACGTTTTCCCCCAATAACAAATGTGGAAATACAGGAACTGGACGGCGAATAAAATAAAAGGGACGAAGACGAAGATGAGAATGAAACTCAATCGGAACTCAACACATCCAAATGCCAGTGTTCCACAACACTATTCCATAGAAATGGAGACAAAGGCGAATAAAAAGATAGAAGAGACTCAAAGAAGAAATACGAACGAAGTGACACGTAAAGCTTTCCATCGGCCATAAATACGCGTTCTTCCTAGTTCTTTTTCCATCCGGCAGCTTTCCGCCATATTTATGACGGTGAAACGACGCGATCCAGCAGCTAGGCGGGGTAACCCCGAAGGAATGAAATCCTCGTTATTCTTCGCGGCCGGTACGTTCGGTGTCTAGCATCCGGCGGCGGCGCGATTTATTTGAGCTTCCGTCTTTATCGTTGGCCAGGATCACCACGGGTGAAAGAGGATATAGACCATAACCACTTCGCGTTGGCTGGCTTCCTTCGCTCGTGGATCCCATATCCTATTATATTGCGCGCGAAAACCGCTGGCAAATGTTGGATGAACGCGAGGAAGAGTAGGGAGAAATAGGCACAGGGTGAGAGAGGGAGAGAGAGGGAGAGAGGAAGAGAAAAAACGAAAAGAGAATAAACGCGAAGACTCATTAAGAGGCTCGATGATAAAGTGAGTTATGGTACTCGCGGGGAATCGAGCCATTCCGCGAACTGTGATTGTAACAGTGTTTCTGGCTTGCTGCACCCGCGCCTTCGTTATTTATGTAAGCTCGTCCCGCGAAAATGTAACCGACTACCCTGAAATGGGAACGCCGTTCTGTTATCGCCCCGCCATACGTAATTCGTGTTTCTTTGGCTCGTCCTAGTTGGAAGAAGGAGAATAGAATTGTCTTACAGGTGTGATTTACAAACCATACGATACCTCCTCCACGAAACTTTCCAATAATTGATAGTGACTCGTTGACTTTGCGACAAGCTAAATTGTTTATTAACACTTTCACGGCTGCTCATACACTTTGGCGTTTAGACTTCAGTACATGTTAGAAATTACTTTCAGTCTTCGGTTATATCATTTGACTATTTCTGTCGCATAATTATATTGTATAAATACAGCAAGCCCAAGTTAAATAATTTGATATACCGTATCAGGCTTGATTTAAAGTAACAAAGTGTTTCGAGAACACGCACGTACAATAGTATTTTGAAAACGTTTCAATGATAAGAAAAGAATTTGTAATACAGTATGTAATTCCCAATTAGCAATCTAAATGTAACCTTTCTCCTCTAGTCTTTCTTTACATAAAAATATAAATTCTTTTGTAAAAACCCCATTCTCCGGGAGCTTCGTACCAACCCAAATCAAAGTGGATCAATTTCAAGCTTGTATTTACACACTGCTTACAACCATTCTACCTCTTTTGCATTATTATCTTATTAAAGCGTTCGCATAAATAATTCCATCGATGTCGGAAGCTATCAGCGACATCCTCTATCGGCCCTCGTCGTTCCTGGCCGCTGTTTAGTTCACCTGGTCTGACTCCGGTGTAAGCCGAGCGATAACCGTCGTTAACGGCGTGAAACGGATGGATCGAACGTTTCTCAACGACAGGAATCGACGAGGAAGGCTTGGATAAACAAGTCGACGGCTGCCCCATTCGGCGGGTTGTCAAAGAGGACAAACGAGAATGTCGTATGGCTGGAAGTTGACGCGAGCCAGCGCGAGAAGCGGCTTCCCTCTGATGTCTCTAGCCAAACAATATCGTCGCTTGTATTTTTGGTTGTTCCAATCGGGGTTCGTGTTATTTTTGCGACGAGGGGGAAATCGTTCCGCGGCTTCCTCTATTGGTGCTACTTCCCTGGCGATTGTCTTGCAATTAAGGTTTAATTGCAAGGGTTTGCGATAAGGGCTGGAGTGCAATTAAAAAGTAACCGTTTACGTACGTAATGATTTTATTAAACTTTCGCGAAAGAGTTTATGCAATTTGTTTTAAACGTCAGTTTTGCATCTGTCGTAATTTATTCTAATGAGAAATTACGCGCGTCTCGACGAATCTACTGTCACAGGCGGACCGTAAGCTTCAGCTCTGATGATTCAACGTTTTCCGGTGTCTGATACACTTTCATGAACTTCGTTTGTTCTTCTAGTGTAAGAGGACTTGATAAGTTTATAATAATAATATTAAACAGTGTATTTAATTACCAACCAACCTTTCTATTCATTTCAATTCTTCGTTGTTCAAGTAAACTTAAAATCTCAAAGATAATGCGATAAGTGACTGATGATAACAATGTTGTAATTAATTACTCGGCAAATGTCACGAAAATTATATTTAGAAATATCTAATTAGTACCAAAACACCGATATTCGATTGATTAACTCAAATATTTAGGAATTTCTTTTATCATATTCTTCGACACAACGTCATACTCTATTTGGGATTTAAATCGAACGTATATTCTTTCTATTAATTCCTAGTAAAAATCAAAATTCTATTATTTATAGATACGAACGTTTATCATAAATTTTACGTAACGACTAGCCTTATTTATGCTCTTCTAACAATTTTCATATGCTTCAAATATTCAAATATTATTCCAGGGAAACATTCCACATTACCAATGGCGAACAGCCTTCATCCCATTCACGTTTATCACTGGTGCATCGCATCATCGATGGCTTGACCGTTTCGCGGTCGCAAATCCAAGGTTTTACCTTTGTGTGTATCGGTTGGCTGGGTCCTCGTACATAATCGTGACCGCAGAATGGTTCCGGAGCGTCATATCCTTCGGCACGATTAAAGAACCGACGACTTTAATCCCGGACGAGTGTCCACGGGAACGCTGGGAATACGATTCCAGCATAAAGCGACGACTTTATGGTTATTCGACGTACGATTCGCTGACGGGTTCACTTTGTGGAAGACAACGGGGCTGGAAGGAAGAGGAACAGGGAGGCGGAGGAAGACGATGACGAGGAGGAGAACGAGGACGACTCACGAAGGACGACAAAACGCAGCAGCCACGCCGGTTTTGCTACCTGAACGCTTGCTCCCAGCGAGAGCTTTCTTTCATCTAACGGGTGACGCGTTGTGAATTGAAATATTTGACATTTTAAAGTAAGAAGTAATTCGCTTCGTTTTTCATTTTTCGACAACAATCCATGTTCAGTTCTGTCACTTCAAGAATTTTTCAATTTCGGTGTTTTACTATTTGGAAAATCAGATTTGACGTGGTACAGAACTTTCGGTTTATTGAATTCTGTTTGTGTTCGTTTAGTTAATTTTGTTTGTTCGTGTCGATAACTTTCTCGATATTACTCGGCTTGTTTTTTCTTCCTTGTTCAGTTAATCTTTAGAATCGAATGCAACAAAATTTCTTTTTTTATTTTATCGTTAATAATAGAACCTTATCTTTCCTGATGTTTGCCTAAAGAAGACATTACTGTACAATGTAAAGTAGATAGATTTCTTTTTAAACAATATTTTTTTACTGCTTTCTTAAAATAGTATGTCTCTAATTTATTCAGTTAATGTGGTAAATTTATAGTAATTATACTTCATAGTACTCTTATTTTTGAACTGCATTAGCGGACAAATTCCTCTTTGGGCTAATCCATTTGTTATTTCGCTAAAGATAGAGATGGTTACTGTAAGGGAATTTGCTGTATCCAGAGGCTTTCCATGGAATCCCTCCTTGATTGCGTGAACTGACTGTTAACGTAGCGCAGAAATAGCGGAGAAACATTTCAGAAATAAACTGTGAACTTCACCGTCAGGTGTAGCCATGAATCAAGCCGAACTTCGCCGTTTCTCATTCCTAAAACGAAGTCCTCCGCCTATCCAATGATCCAATCGTTTCCTCTCTCTTACTGAACCCGATATTATGGTACCAGCACATACTGTTATTTTGCGATTTAGTTTCACGATACTTCTGCGTGCCTTTAAATACATTTTTAGTATCTCTATAAGGCGAATAAAAATTTGTACAAATAATTAACGCAGCGTGAAATATCTAGGTACTACATTCATCGTGTTTATCCTCATTAATTCTCCTTGCCTTGTGCGTTCGTTTTAAACTTATCTTCGATTACAGACACATTTATTACAGTATTTAAATCTCTCCCAGCGCACCACTTACCTTTAGGCATAAAATATTTCATAAAATCACTCGTTAATATTTTTTATCACGACCTTTTTGTTGTTCTTTCTCCTTTTTATTGTTCCTTTTATATTTGTTATGCAAAGCGGTTTAAATTTTCTAAAAGGAGGAAAAGGAAATTTTTGTAAGATTGAAAGAGGGTAGCTTAATATTAATTTTATCAAATAACCAACTCTTTTCTCCTTCTTCCTCGGTCAAATTTGGTAGAATTCTGCTCTTATTTCAAAGAAACGATATTCCTATATTTTATTCGACGAAATATACCTTCCTCAAATTTTACTTAAATTTGTCTAAGAATTTTCTGAACAACCTTATACGTTAGTTTAAATTTCCTTTCAATTTTTAAATTCACAAACTTTCGGTGAAAGAACCAAAGAACGAAACAGAGACTAATTCGATATCCAATCGTCCACGAATGCTCTTCTCCAGTAAAGGGAAACCTTAATCGCGATTCGACGCGCGTATCGGAGGAGGAACCTGAAGACGACGGCAGTACACCCTATAGAGAGACAACAGAAGGGTCCTGCGCGCGAGAGGCGTAGACCACAGAGAAAACGCGGCGTGCTGGGAGTTGATGTGTGGCCATTGTGACGGAATTTTGATAACGACAGGGAACGCCACGGGGTATCCCGCGACGCTACCCGCGATTCGGACGTCGGACATAATTCTCGTAAAATTCTCGGCTTTATGGTAATGTCCCTGTCTCTGTATTGCCATGGCAGGCCGCGTCAGCTTCGAATTTTCTCCCCGAACCGGCTCGATGATTTTTTTCTTATCACGATCGGCCAAGAGCTGCCAGATGATTCTCTGACCGACCAGTAATGTCCCTCTTAACTCTGGAATCATCGTATAAAACATCGAACGTGGAACTTTTAGTTGTTTCGAAAGATACGAGCGACAGATATTTTCCAGCTTCTTGAATTTTTATTCTTTTCAATCGAACCTTTTCTAAATCGTCTGGATTTAGTGTCGATCGTTCGAGGATGATGTGCTAAGTATCGATATGTTGGCTGCTGGATATGATTTTCAAATATGTCAAAGCGTGCGATAATAAATTTGTCGAACGTGTCTACAATTGAATTAAACGAATTTCTAAAATCATTCACTTACGTCATAATGTAGTGTGGCCTATTCTTGTAATTTAAAAAATCATTGCTATCAGATGTAGCCAGGAAATAGGAGTAATTGATAATTACACGGTAACATAGAAGAAACATATTTTTACTCGACTGGTGCGACGTATGTTAAGATAAAATTCATGAATGATTTTCTCAAAATTTACGACGTTAAAGTAATGTTATCACCTGGACATCAATATGCCGTAAAAAATTCCAAACTCTACAAGGTAGCATTCGGATTACAACTTCACTAATGAAAGAAGCTCGAAAGTTTCGGTTGCAGCATTTTCACACGACAGATACACGAGGATTTACCGAATTTCTCACAAGGTCCCGACTGTGGCCGGGGCTGTAACAGATAAGATCTTGCCCGGTTATACATAACGCCGGAAAGTCCGCGTTCCTAGCGTTCATCGTCTTGATTCCTGCTCTAACCGCGAGTATCAACTTCATCTTTATCATCGTCGTTATGGCGTCGCCGCGGGATGTCGACCCTTTCGGGTTCTAACCTCCGAGTCTCCTAGCGATGGGGCAAGCTAAGGAGATAAGCGCAAGCAAGATTAAAGTACGCCACTTTTGTTGTCTGCATTTCCATTTTCCTCAACGAAACAGGGAAACAATAGAAGATTTTTAGCGTTTTTGCGCGAACGCAATTCGTTAGTGACGTTCACTGTTTGGCTAACGTCAGACAGATTGTCGAAGCGTCTAGGATTGATTCGAATTGATACGTTGAATAATTTTTTCTTTCTTTTTTTATTGGCTAGAAGATTTTTGAGAAAGAAATAATGCATCTTTAATTCTTTATCTATATAGATAACAAAAGTATTGCGTTTATTCAAGAAGTGAGATACTAATCTTGCATGAATTTCGACGAAATATGCAAAGAATCAGCATTCGAGGATTTTGTAATATTTTAATTAAAAAATTGAAATAATGCTTGGAGGAAATAGCAACAAGTAGCAGGTTATTCAGATATCCATACTAGGGTTAATTATTCTAGAATTCTGAGATTCTGTTTAAGCGTACGTATCTTTAAATCACAGATTATAGATCATCAACTATAATTTTTAATTTCTGCTATGATGAGTGGAAGATTAAGAAGGTTTATAAATTCTAGATGGAATTTAAGTAAGAGATTGCGTCTCTCTTGAGATGAGTCGAGATACCTTGCCTTTATGTTTATTAAGTTTCTTAATATTTCTTGGAGAAATATTCTCCAAACTTCAGTCGTTACACATGCTTTCATCGTCAAATTACGTTCTCATCTACAGTTTGTCAGAAACCTGTTGATCGCAAAGTTAAACTTTCATTGCGTTTTGTTATTCTTTGTCGTAATATTTTTAATGCTTCTACACAAGCCTATGTATGTAATTCGATGCACAAAAGTAACTTCGACGAATGGATTTTCAATGAAGACGTTTAAACGATAATACGATGATTTCTTGCGTTCTAGCCCCGGACCCCGTTGACGTACCAGGTTCAGGACTGCTTTTCCTTTTCCTTCCTTTGTATGGAACGGGAAAAATCACAGGGCTGATTAAAAGGCCGCTTAGTATGCTCGAGGCGGGGCCACTGATAAATAGCTCTGCTTCTTTCGTGTTCGCAAAAAGCTCGCTAGCGCCACGACCCATTCATGCCACATACGAAACCATATGTGGCGTTGTCCTCGCCGTTATACTTACACGGGATTCCAGACTCGCAGGAGTCTGTTGCACAGACAGAATTTACATTCCCTGCAGATCCTCTTTCGACGGAGTTAAATTCCTATTTTGTCTGATTCTCTACTACTCCACGTTTTATATTACTCTTGGGAGTATATCAAATTAAATCATACTGGTTGGTTTTATTCGAAATAGTTACAAAAATTCTATAATCGTACTGGTTGGTTTTATTCAAAATAGTTATAAAAATTCTATAATCGTCCTAACAATTTAATAAATATTTCAATTACTGTTTGAATAGTTATTGTATTACTATATAGTTTATTTAGTAATTTATTTTATGTATTCAGGCAAATATCAAATTTTTATTGTAATTGAAGAGCGCAGAGATAAAATAAGTCGACTTCGTGGGTTTTCTGATTTTTCTTTGATTCCTGTTTTAATTTTCTGATATTTGAATCATCTGATAAAAGAAGTGGAGAAAGTGATCAATTCAGAATTTTTCATAAGAATTTTATAAATTTGGAGTTCAAAACCGTTTTTCTACGAGGAACGGGAGACATACCTTTTTTGGCACGGTCTTGAACCGAAAACACGTTGAAAAATCCGAATCAGTAACACGGATTCGAAGTTTTCTCGAATAGTCTCCATTGAAAGGCGATCCTCTTGTAACCCGATTACAACTCCAAATGCTTCAAAAAGTCAATTTTCACCGATTGTCAACCTAATAAAAAAAAGAGCAGAAGAAACTAAAAAATAGAACGGAGCATATTTCGCGTTTTTTCTCAATCGCTCTTACTCATCGTCGACTGGAGTATCAGAAAACAAAACGCGGCGAACAGAAATAGTGCACTTGCCGTGTGTCCGCGTTGAAAGCAACGTGTTTCGCTGCACCGTTTGATGCCGCGTAGAGACGAGTTTCAAAAGCGCCACGGAAAAAGGTGGCTGGAAAGTTGAAACGACTGAAAAATTCGTATAACTCACCGATGGAGCAGCGACAAAGAGGCAGGAACGAAGAAAGAGAAACCCAGCGGCTTCCTTTTCCGCTCGTTTCATCCGCGAAATTGAAACGCGCATCTGCAAATCCTTTCCTTCTTTTTTTTTTTTTTTTTCAAAGCTTGACCGTCACTCGACTCGACACGCATTGAGGACGAAAAGTGGTAGCTAGTAGCGTGCAAAAAGGGGTGGATGCATCCATGTTGGTTGGCGAGAAGCGTGATCGTTTCGAAAGCAAGTTAAAGTTGGACTACAGGCGCGCGTGGAACCGTGTGTGCGCGCAGTAAAGCTTCCAAGAGGGTTGGCCGTTTCGTCGAGGCCAATAATTAAAATGCATTCAGCCGAGTTATAAAGCCTTAACGACGTGCGTGCGCGACCGATTTTTTGCTACTGTATCCCCAGACTTTACGATACAATTTATTGCTTATTTAATTCTCCCTTTCCGTTCCATCGATTTAGGCTCGTCTGGCTGGCGAATCCTGGCTGGCGGATATCAACGCTGTCGACGATTCTGTCGAGTATTCGTTTCTAACGTGGGCATACGATGCTCTTTGAAAGATAGTGAAAGCTTTGGTTTATTCTTCTGGTGCTAAGAATTTGCGGAATTTGTAAATGGTTGATGAACAAGACGATAAATTCGAAGATCTTAGCTTCTAGTAAAGGATATAGGTAAAGTTCGCCTTTTCTCTTGCATCGTGTCTTTTTCTATATAATATATTTTTCTTATAAAACAATGAACGATCAAGTTGGCGATCCTTGTAGTAACATCGAGAGACAAAATTATCTTTTCTATTTTTTAAAAGTTGGAAAAACCACGTAGGGAAGAATTGGCAAAATTCCTACATCCCTGGATAT